TGTTCATTGGTCAGCCGGCTAGCGCGGTCGATAACAACACACACACACACACAACACACTGCTGGAAAACGAAAAACACAACGAACGGCCTTAACCAAAAAAACATGACGTAGACCCCCACGCTCGTCGCCCCAACCTGTCTCCTTCTCACCAGATTCCTCAGCTGCGGAAGGATAAGCTCCCTCAGGGGCTTGTCCAGGTCGTCGGAGCCGCACAGCAGCAGCGCTCCCAGGGCCTGTCCCGCCGAAAAAACAACGAAGAAAAAAAGGCGAGATAACTAAGAGGATTCGCTGCGCTCAAGTTCAGGGGGGGAGAGAGGAGAGGCTCCAAAGAGAACCAAGCAAGAGAGAGATGAGACAGATCTCTTCGTCGACTCAATCATCAAATCAGCTTGGGCGCGAAGCGATGCAAAACAGGTGCCTGTCACTGCTGTAACAGCGATATGGCAACACGAGGGCGAATCTGTCGTGACAGCTGGAGGATCGGTACATCCACACGAGCCTTGTGTCTATTTTTGTTCAATAGAAAAGCGGGGAGACAAGGAAAAAACGAAAACACACTCCAAAACACGCGGAAAAAAAAGAAGAATGTATCCTTCCCACATTGAATGCGGCGCTCCCTGTCCAAACATGGACCCATTTTCGTTATTAATAGGGGTTGTTGTCACACCAAGCAGCTTGTCGAGAAAAGGGAACAGGCGAACGTGTCCCTGTCTGCCTGCCTGCGCCCTCTCCCTTTTGCTTGTTACCCTTGAGACTCTCATCTAGTTTCTCAATGTTGCGCCGTCTGGCACTAAAACACTTCGAACNGGGGGGGGGGGGGGGGGGGGGGGGGGGGGGGGGGGGGGGGGCGTCTAGACCGCTGTACCACCTGCACACAGAGGAGACGACTTCTTGAAGGGCGAAGTCGTGGGTGGAAGTGAGTCTAAACGATTATTTACTAATACACAGGGTATACCTGCATGAGTTGCCGTGCGCCCATACCGTAGGCATACATATCTCGCATCGTTTTTTGCGTTCTTTCTTTGATTCTCTGTTTCGTACATCGTCGCAGCCACACATACACGTGCATTTAGCGATGTGTTTGTTGGTTTGAGGGCTGGCTGCAGTACGAGTAATGAAGTGATTATTTGTTCACGTGCACCGTACACAAAAAAGAAACAAAGTTGGCCGTTCGTTGCGCAAAAACCACCTCTCACCATTGAGCGTGTAGTGCATGCTAACGTTTTCCAGACACGAATATTCATCTCAGCGGCAGCAGCGGCAGCACTACTGCTGTACATACCATACAGCCGGTGAGGTTGAGCGCAGCACGCACACTCAGTCTGATCCCCACCGCCAGCCTCCCTTTGTATGCGGAGTAGCCGGCATTTTGGATCCCTGCCGTAGTGCCACATACATAACTCTCTCTGATAGGACTTGAGGCTTGGCGGGAAGGCTGTATCGAGT